ATGAAAATACAGTGTTTCAAAGTAACCCGAAGTAATTCTTTTCTCTGTGTGGCTGTATCACCAACTTGATACAAAGTTAAGACTATTTCTCTCCATTTGTTTGAATCACTGTGAAATATTCATTTATACGTGGAATCGTATGTCCCCATGGCAGTTACTACTACTGGGAACGTCCCTTGTCCATTGTCCGTTTGGGCGTTCCTCACCTACCTCCCGCTTTGGCAGGCAAGCTCCGTAAGAGGAGGGCTCCCTCTGTTGCCTTCTCGCCTTATCCCGGGGACCTGGGACAATTCCTGACACATCACACACCTGCACAAGGTCCCACAGTGTGGAAGCTGCTTTCCCACGCGTCCTCCCAACAGTGAGAAGTAGGCATCACTGTCCGCCATCAACGGAGGATAATTACTCATGCAGGCTTTTCCATGTAGTAACAAGTGGAACCTCTACTGAGGTGGGGTTGAAGGATAAGGTCCTGGACCTGCAGTGATTCTACTTTTGGATTAATTCCACTCCTGAGTAAAGAAACAGAGGCCCTAACCCCCTATGTTCCTGGTAAAAGAAGCCATAGTATAGGGAGAACTTTTCAACAAATGCAGGAAGCAAGGCAGGCCTGGGCCACCCAGCCACCCCACTCCCATGCCCTCAAGCTATAGTCAGAATCCGTCCTGCCTTTAACTTGCAACAAGACAAAGGACTTGTCCAGAAGAGGTTCCGTGGTGGAAGGACACGATGGGGAGTTAGGTACCGGCTGTGTGCCCCAGGCAAGACAAATAATCTTTGTGAACCTGTTTCCTCATTTGTAAAAGGGGCTGGCAGTCTCTGCCCCCAATTACTACTCAGGTTGCTGGGGGATGACCCGAGGCAGGAGATGAGAAAGCTGCTTGTGCCTGTGAAAGATTCACTGGACAGAGGCGTACTGTCCCTCCTGCCACTCTTTTCTAGTGGCATCGTATTAGAAGTGCGCTCCCCTCTGCCAAAGGCTTTCAAAGAAGTTGGCCAGGAATATGCTTACTCAGGAGGCAGGCAAAATACTTTTTTGGAGGAAATCATCACATGAAGAACAAAAAACAACCCCAAACTGGGGAGTGCAGGGGATATCTGGCTTTTAGCAATTACTTCCTATGGAAGGAAAAAATAATTAAATCTTCAGAATAAACAACAGAGTTAGAGATCTGCTGATGGAAACTGAATGTAGCATAATAATGGACCCCACTCACGGCCCGTGCTGTGTCGTTTGCATTACTGGCGCTACCCCGCATCCTGCAAAGTAGGAATTCCTGCCTCCACGCTGAAGTTCACAGAGGTCAAATGACATGCCCAAGAGTACATGGCTGACCACAACGAGAATCAGAATCCAGAGCCCATGTTGTTCTAACTCCTTCATGTGGTCTCCAAGTCCAGAGAGGTTCAGCAGACTCTGTTAGGTAGTAAGGGAGAGAGAATCACAGTAAACCTGCATTCATAACAGTCAGCCTACATGGAGTAGGGCGTGACTCGACTTGGTTAAGGAAACACTCAGAACCTGCATCCTCGCTGTGTCGTTGCATGTGGCCCAGTGGGTGGCACGCAGAGAGCTTGGTGAACAAAAGAGGAAAGCGGATTTCACAGGGTCCTGGGTGATCCGCAGGAAAATGGAGTGGCCGCCGTGTGTGCAGACGCCTTAACAGCTACCGGAGCCGGTGCTGGGGCCAGCGGCCATACGCGGCTTCATGGCCTCGAGGCCAGAAAGCAGTTCCTGGTTCCAGAGAAAAGGGAAGAAGCGCTGAACAAGTCAACTGAAAGCCACATGGATCCCCTCCAGGAGGTGCAGTCACCAAGGCTGCCATTTTGCCTGGTCCTCCGTTCCAGGACCAGTAAAAATGCTAACGCTCCTCCTGGTTCCATCACATTTGATTTCACAAGCGCTGGATCAGCAGGAACGGGGAGTCCTGTTCCAGGTTTGGTTTCAGCACCAATTTATGACATGCCTGAAGGCAAACCTACATCGCAAGGCCTCAGTTTTCTTGGCGGTAACTGGACAGAGATGCCAAGATCACTACCGAGCACTTTCTGAGCCTCTCAGGAAAAGGTTTAGAACTTTGGCTGTGCTCTATTATTTATTTGCCATCCAAGAGGAGAGCGATCTGCTGCAGTTACTGTTTTCAGTCTCTGATGCTGCCCCTCCTACACTGTGCTGAGCCCCACTTCTGTCTGGGAGAAGCCCGAGGGACCTCCAGTTCACTCCATGCTTCAATCTGTGTGATCTGAGACCCCTCTTCACTTGAGATTTTCATCTGTAACGTAAGAGTAAGAATGTCAGTCTCATAGGATTGTTGTAAAGATTAAATGAGAGATATAGGTATATATGTGTTTATATCAGATATATACAATATTTTAAGTACTTTTAGACAGGTTTTTTTCTTTCCATTACAGAAAATTCTGTCCTATTTTCTGATTTCCCTTCCCATTCTATCTTCAGAACGCAAATGACTGGAGGCAGGTGAAACTTGGAACTTCTAGTTCGGAAATCTTAACCTTGAAACCACAGCAGGGAGAACTGTTTTCCTCTGGTTTGAGAGAAAGTGAAATAGAATGATGACTGCAAGTCGATGGAGTTTAATTATTACAAACAATTATATATTTATTGTATATAAATACTTCTGTTACTTTTATTTTGCCCTAGAGGGGAATAAACACTTAGTTTTCTTTCCCTTCTTTTCCTGATTGGAATTTTTGCCCATTGACTTCCCTATTTCTCTCTTGTAAAGCGTATCTCAGGTGATGAAACGTTGGAGCAGAATGAACAACTTGAGGAAATTCAGGGCTTCAGCGGAAAGCAACAAGCTGTTGCTAGGGAGGGCCGGAGAGCGTGTTTTTGTTTAACATCCTGATTCCTGCCCCGTCGAGTCCAATGGCATGTTATTTCCACTGGGTGGGAGCCAACGCCGAGCTCCTCCCTGTTGTGTCCAACCTTGAACATTTCTCTGCGATTATGTTTCATCCAGGGATTAGCAAAATGCAGAGGGGGAAAACCTGAGAAGGTGTTTGGCACGGGGCTGCCTGCTGCGTTAGCACACTCTGTCGCCTTCTCGGCTAATTGGGGAACAGCGACAAACAGAAGGGGCTCAGAAGCTCACAGGAGCTCTTCGTCTTAGGTTACTGTAAATGGTTTATTTATTGAGTGGCAAGCTTTTTTGTTTGTTTGTTTATTTTTTATAATCCCGGAGGAGACTCCAAACAGACAAGCAGTTCTCACTGCCTCACCCTGTCCTCGCTGTTTCTTAGCTGTCAGAAAATCCGAGAGCAGTGAGTGGGAAGCTAAGGATTCTCCTTTTCAGACTTGCCAAGTGTCTCCAAGGTGAAGAACTCTGTCAGGCGCAACTTCTGAGTGACTGTCACCTCTTCACACCAGACCTGGCCTCCCTCCTGCCGCTGCTTGTCTTGAGCACACAGCACTTAGTGGAGGAGACTTCAGGAGAACAAACATGCCAGGAAGGAAGGGAAAGGAGGCTGCCTGGAGAAGGGCAGTCAGTCCTCTCTGGGCCCAGGAGCCTCGTGCGGCAGCCTCCGCGCAAACTTGCAGAACTCTAACCTTTTACAATCCTTCTGTGAGGCCAGGCGGGAAGCAACACTTTAGCAGGTACTGAGCTGCCACCACGTTACAGCAGAACTAGGAGCTCCCAGGTCAAGTTTCTTATTAGAATTCCGGGACTGTTGGTCCCTGCATTTACATGGTTTGTGTGAGGTCACCGGCTGCTGCTGTAAAAACTGGTGGAAGGCTCTAGTCCTGGGAAAAAACCCAACAACCCTGAGATGTCGAGAAGACAGCAGGAGAAGGGGAAATAGACTCACAGTGCAAGTGACAGGCCTGAGGTTGGGATATGTAGCTAGAGACTGAAGTGTGATCATGGAAATAGAAGTTCTAAGGCAGGGCTGGCGGGGAGACCCAGACTTAACAAGAAATAAGTAATTAAAGTGAGCATGAAACCCCATGAAGCCATAGTCTGGAATGAAGTCTCTGAGGGCGGGTAGGGTGCAGCATGCTGCTGGGATTATCTGGCTCAGGTGGTTCCAACACTGCTCAGGAGATAAGGAGACCAAGTGGATGGGGTCAGGCTCCATTTGGACCTTGTAGCCCCACCCCCACTTCCATCACATGGCCACAGATTGCTCCCTCCTTTGGAGGAAACTATTTTTAAAGGAACATCATTAGCCCAAAGGGGATCATCTGAGCATGGAATATTGGAAATGGCTCTGCACTTGGTATCAGAAGACCCAGTTTCTAGTCCTGATACTGCCATCTACTAGCCCTTGAAAACAACTTAGAGCAGGGTCCCCAACCTATGGTGAGTTGCATAATTATTTCATTATATATTACAATGTAATAATAGAAATAAAATGCATAATAAATGCCATGCACTTTTGAATAATTCTAAAACCATCCCCTACTCCCTGGTCCATGGAAAAATTGTCTTCCATGAAAATGGTCCCTGGTGCCAAAAAGGTTGGAGACCACTGTCATAGAGCCTCTAGTTTCCTCATGGAGAAAGTGCATGAGTTGGGCATATTATATAAAATAATACAAGAGAAAGGGCTTTAGAATTATAAAGACATTTAGTCATTTAGATTTAGAATCAGGAAAATAAAAGCTATTAATAGTGTGTTGGTAGATCAATTGCAAATCTGTCCACTTCACCACTCTTCCCTGTCTCTACACCCTTTGCAACATCACTTTGCAGTTCCTCTCAGAAAGAGGCAGAGCCTACTGTCCCACCCCTGGAACCTGGCAGGGCTTATTGTTTGTTTCAGCCAGTAGAATATGGCAGGAGTGACATTGTACCACCTCTGAGTCTAGGGCTCAAGAGACCCTGTGTGCTTCCCTCTCTCATGGAGTCCTGCCACCTCTGTGTGAACAACCGGGGCTGGAGAGCGAGACCACGTGGAGAAGAGCTCAGTGTCCTAAACCGGACACAGCCACGTGACCACAAAAAGATGATGGCGTCCAGCCAGGACCAGCAGACCCCAGAGGCAGATGCGTGAGTAAATCAGCCGAGACTAGGAGACCTCTGGACTCATCAGCAATAATAAGTGTTTGTTAGCTTAAGCTATTGAATTCTGGATGTTTGTTAGGTGGCAACAGCTTTGTGGAGGATTAGACTTTGTGGAGGATTTTGCCCAAAATTAATCAAATAATCAGACGTAATCGTTAAGGAAAAAGTATCTTTGGGGTCCGGTGGCTGTGTCTGGCTTAGGACAGCCATGGCCAAGACAGCTGAGCTCTTCTCCATGTGGCCGCGCTTTTAGCCCCGGGTGGTTCACACGGTGGTGTCAGGACTACTCCGTGAGAGAAGGAAGCACACCGGGTCTCCTGAGCCCTAGACACGGAGGCCAAGGTGATACGGCCGCCAGTCCTGAGGCTCTGCCCTGGGCCACACTCGGGCAGGAGGATGGGACGGCACATCACATGGTGTCTTGCTCTTAGGTGGACTCGGGGTTCAGAATAACATGATATTAATGTTTGAGAGTTAGTCTCTGAAAGGAAAATCAACATTTATTTGAAGCTTATAAAAACATAATTTATTGTAATAATGAGTGAATTCTTTCTGTGGAATTTGTAAAACTAATATACAGCATCGTAAATGTAATAATTTGAAGTCAGAGTCCCCATTCTTGATTTATAGATTTGCCAAATTAACATGCCAAATTAACATCCTTCTATCGAAGATAAAGAAACTTTCAGGAGTGGATTCAAATGCTGGGTGTCATCTCCAGTGTAGCCTCAGCTGCGAGACGTGCTGGGACTTCACGGAGGCTGATGGTCGACAGATGTATGGTGCGGGAGTCACACAGCAGAAGGGAGTGTAGGGCTGTCTCCACGGAAGATGGCACTGTCCAGAGTGTGTGGTTGGCAGGGCTCTGGCTGGGACGTCCTTCACAAGTCTGAGCTGCTGAGTGGGGCCTAGAGGGGGTCACTACAGAGTCGCAGGAGACTGGCTCCTGGGGACCTCCCCCACCAAGCTGAAGCTGGATCTCAGCCAGAGGTTAGAGGAGGAGGAAACGAGAGAGTATCCTGGAAGGGGTGGAGGGGAGAGACAGGATGAGTCCTTCCATCACTCTAGTGGACTGGAAAAGACCCCTGGGTAGCCAGTGAAGAAATATAGACTCCCCTGGCACTGGGGAGAATGGGGGTCATGCCAGGCGTGGCCGGGACCTGGGCATGGACTGGGCTCAGACTGTAGGTAGATGGCTCTGAGGTCCTTTGGAGGCCTGCAGCAATCATGGATGACCAGTGAAGAGAATTTCAGCCATCAAATCATTCAGTACAAATGGTGGCCATCATTGGGTGATTAATAGCAGCTGGACATCTCACCAAGAACTTGTGGAAGTAGGTGGAGTACCATTGGGTCCAGGCTAAGGAAACAGAATCCTTCCCCCAAAAGATCTAGAGCCATCAGGACAGGGGAAGAATGGGTGTGGAGGGAGCGGTGGCTGAGCAGGGACTACCTTTGGGGGCAGTGAGGGTGAGTGCCTCCAGTTCTGCGCCCTTCGCAGAAGGTTGTGAGTGGATCTTAGGGGCCAAGGCTTCTTCCTGCTCTAAACTTCAGTGATTCCATGATTTTATGGCAGATTTAAGAACAGCTAGGCCACGCTTTGTGCTCCACGTTCCTCCAGTATGAAACCAAACCAGCGCTGCATTTGGAAGGAACACGTGGCGCTCTCTGCAGGTCTTGGGTCTGTGGGCTTCTGTCTGGATGGAAATTGTTCCTACTAAAGCTATGGCTGATCCTGGAACAAAGGTTCCACCCTTGCTGTCTAAGATGAAAGAACTTACTCTGTAGCACTTTTTCCATAGAGGCAATGTCCTCATTTATAGCCACTGCTGACCCAGCCAGCATTTGGCTGCAGAACCCTGCCCTTTTGTTGCGCCATGTCCTCATTCCTCCAGGGCCAGTCCCGGGTTTCTGTAAGCGCACACTGTGACAAACACAAACAAGAAAAATCGGTCCTGTCAGGGCAGAAGAATTGCAAGTATCACGTCTAGTAGAGAAATCAGAAAACAATGCTCCCCTTCGAATGGACCTTTCTCTTGGCTGACACAACTCTTGTGCCAGGACACGGGCTTGTGCAAGTGAGGCCCAAACTAGAAGTTTGCCCCCACACGTTGTCACCCTGGCCTGGTCCCTTAGTGCAGAGCAGTCTTCAGAACCCTGCCCTGTCCCATCTGCTGCTACCTAGAACCAGACAGCCTCACACCGTGTTCTTGCAGGGCCTGCGCCCCTTACGACAGGGCAAGTAGGATTCAAAGCCAGCAGTGAGGAGGTGAGAGTCCCAAACTTCTTGTCACTTGCTAATTAAGGGACCAAGGGGACTCAGGTGAGCTGGAGGAAGCCCCTGTCTTTCTCCAATAGCTGAAACAAGGTGGTTCTTTTCTATGAAACAATTTTCTATGAAAATTGTGGGTAATAAACAGAAAAAGGCCAGTGAGAAGATCAAGTTCTATAAAAAACACATGCAAACAGCAGCCCCTTCCCTGACGTAGGCTCACAGAGATGTCAAACCAAGTGTGTGAGACGTGTCCTGTGTGGGGATGTATGTGGCCCTCCGAGCTTCAGGGCAAGGCCCAGCCGGTGCAAACCGCACTCAGGATGAGTTTCATTTCCCTTCTGGTGTCTTTCTGGAGCGTGCTGGCCATGGCGACTCTGCTGTTGCTTGCGTCTCAGCACTGGTGACATCACCACTTAATAAGTCAGGGAATCATTCAGTTTTCTCATTAAGATTCTATAGGAATTTTTTTCTACAGCAATAGCCTTGCCAAAACAATGTTAAAAATAGACCTGGTAATACTTTTCACATTTGTAGGCAGTCGTGAATGTTTAACAGCATATATGTCCAGCAGATGCACATAACTTTACAATTAGGCACTGAATTTTACACAGTAATATAGCATACATGTATTTGTCAAAAGGATTTTTAAAAAATTAAGCAAAAACCAAGCCTTGGGGTTAGTTCACTTAGGGGAAGAAAAATCTGTTAGCTACTTCATTTTCTTATAAGAAAATGTTTATTGCATAGAAGATTTGGGGGTAAATGCATATGTGAAGTAATATTTTTCAATAGTGATTAAGTATGGATATTTTGACTCACTTCAGCTCACATGGTAAATTCTCCAAATTCAAGGGCCTGAATTCTGGCTCCTAAAGTGTAGAATTATTTCAGAGACAGGTAGCAGCCTGTGCTTGTCTGGGCCTGCTTGGGCAGGGGACACAGACGGGCCAGGGCAGGCCAAGCAGGGAGGTGGTGAGGGTTGAGGCCCTGGCTGAGCCTGACAGCCTGGGATCTTTCAGCAAGAGAAACTCTGCAGGTCACCGGCCTGTAGGCAATAGGACGATACCTTGTAAGAGGTAAGGAAGTCAAATGTTATAATTAAAAAATGTAAGTTCCACACATTAGTAACTTTTTGTGGGTAGTGTCCTTAGTGAGTTCCAAGTATATCACTGGCTTCCAAAAAGCTGACCTAGATGGCAGCTGCAGCATCTTGTCACAGGTGGGCCTACCTGACCTTTTGGAAGTACGTAAGCCGCGCTTCCATGCATTTGGAGGTGGTAGGCATGAACGCTTCCTGAGCTCCTGGCTCGACTTTTTGTTAACAGCTGAAACTGATCGACAGAAGGCAAAGAATTGATGGCTTTATAAATATAGCTCTTAAATGTAACCATCATCACTTTCTGATTAGCCTTGGTAGAACTTTTTAACCTCTAGCAGTACATCTACAAATGGAAGTTTCTTGCTTGGGGGGCAATCACAGAAATGGAAATTAACCTCCTTCTTCCCCTGGCCCTAAAAATTATTTTGAGTCAAGAGCTTCATGTAGACACAGCTTAAATGAGTCATTAAGAATTTTATTGGTTAAAGTAGGCATATTTTTTTCCTAGTAGACATAATGACATAACAGCAATAAAAATGTAATATTCAAGTAATTGCTGTAATGTAATTACAGTTTGGTCATAAAGTAAGATTAGAAGTCTGGGATGGCTGTTTTGTGGGTGTGCATTTTAACGTCTGAACGCCTGTCCCGTCTCCCCGGAGTGCCAGAGCAGCTCATCACAGAGCCAGGTGGCCTGGAGCCCGGCTGAGCCGGCATTATCAAGGCGTCCTGTCTTCCCAGTCTGCCGTCTCTGGACACTGGTGTCCTGCCTGCCTCTGAAACCTGTTACAGTAGCTGAAGACAGTGTTTCTGGTCTTACGTAGACAACAAAAGGGGGGAATAAGGAAGGCCAGGGTCCTCCCTGGGGAAAGGACCAGTTCAGGTGCCACGCTGGAACAGCTGCCTCTTTGCCCACACGGCGCTGTAGCTCTCCGTCTCCCTCCAGCTGAAGGGGGGGGGGGCTCTGCTCCGGCACCTCTCCCGTGTGCTGCAGTGTCAGCCTGTTCTGGCTTTTGGAGGGAAGAACAATTTCTGGATTGAGTCTGAACAAAAGGAGCAGCTGTCTTAGGCATTTGACCAAAATATATTTTACCAAAGGATTTGTCATCATTGGAGATAATCTTTGAACTATTATAAATGAAATTCTCTTTGTGCTTCTTATTTAAGGACATGGCCTGCAGAGAGAGAAAATTCAAGCAGAAGTACTTGACCATTTGTGAACTCAAACAATAAAAACATTGTAATTAACAATATTTACGATAAACAAATAATTGAAAGAACATAAGGTTTTCTTTTTTTCTATTTTACTTTTTTTCCTTTGTGGTCAGTAAGTAATTGGTAGGGAGATAACTTGAGACTACATAAATATCCACTCCTTATCAGTCTTTGTCTCCCATTGATGATCTTTTAATGCCATGATTCCTTCTATATTAGTTACTTGGCATTCTACAGCAAAGAAGAGCTTTCACTTTCTTCTCCATTTACTTATTTATATTGTATGGACTCACTGATATTTATTTTATTCCAGGGGTTACACAACCCAGTACTGTTGCTTATTTGGATGCTCAAATTGTCCCAGATTTGGATGCTTTTCAAGCTTCCAGTTTTGACATGTCCTATGGTTCTTTGAGCAATTCCTTATTTTCTTGTGCAATATGATGTTCTAGGCTCATTTTTCTGGGCATTTTTTTTCCTGCCCTGACCCTGGAATTAGCCATTTCCCCAAGGAGCCCTGAGTGCCAGGGGAGAATGATATTTAGAAACTAAGATCTGGGTACTAGGAGTGAAAGGCCATCACTTTTTAAACATGTAAAATTTATTTCCACTGTGATTGGTCGGCTTTGGGAGAATTTACGGTGCTTATAAGGAGCTGAGCTTGTGCCAGAGGTGAAGGCTGCGTTTGGATCCTGAAAGAGGAGAAAACTGGCTCTTCCTGTGAAATAATACAGACAAGTCATGCAGTGCCAATTACTGTCTCAGCTAATTGATGAGATCCTTAGGCTTTTCTCCCTCTAAGCCAACACTGGTGTCTAAACCTCTTTCAAAAGTACGTCATCACTCCTAATTAATATCTCTTCATGTCTGTTAACTCATGGTTCATCAGCAGTGTAGACTATTTCACAAACTTAACTTCTTGCCAGTATCTGTGACTTTAAACATCTCTTGTCTCTGAATCCGCTCTTTTACAGATGCAAGTCACACACTGCAAAGGCCTGTCATAAATACAGGCAGCCACCTGTGGTTTGTTTGTGCCTCATCATTCCTTGTTGTATGTCACCTTAGTAAACAATGCGTAGAGTCTCATTTTAACCCTCGAGTCTGTGGTTTGTTTTCCACAATGGTGACTGCTGAGCTGAAGCAGCGGCAGCTGAGACACCGGCCACACTGAGCCAGGGTGGTGGCAACAGCGGCTGGAGGAAGCCTGGATGCACGGGGTTTCCTTTCTTTCACTCCTTTGAGTAGAGTCCAGGGAAAGCAGAGGTTGGGATTTGACTGATGCAGATTGTTGGCTTTTACTTGGCATATACTCTCTTGCTGCTTGAGAAATGCTATTTTTTCCTTAAACTTCTTTCTCATTAATCTTGTGTTAACTTGGTCTAACGCTATTAGTTGGGTAGGCTGCTTCTGTACCAGTTAGCATATATTTCCATAGTGTTGAGTGGGGCAGGGGAAGGAAGAAGAATCTCTGAACTGTTGACCTTGAGGGACTTGTGTGAAGGCGCGTCTGACGTGAGTGTAGTGATACAACTGGCTGAAAAAGCTCTCGTAAATGGTAAGCTGTGGTTGGCTCTGATGATTTATGCTGAGCAGAACAAACTATGATGGAAACATAAGATACTTCTAATCTTACACTTTATTCACTCAAAACACATGAAACTCAATCTTCTTACTTAAAAAACAGCTATTTAGAGCACTGAGAATCCGTAGAGGAAATCAGGTATTTACTATCCTTATGTTCACCCACATCATATGTGCCAAGGCTAGGAGCTGAACATGTTTGGATATTCTCAACTGAAAGGTACTGTGTGATACCTCAATTTAAAAACTATCCCTACTGTTACATTAAGGGACTTTCTAATAACCAGTTGAAAGAAGAATGTCAGAGAAATAGCTTCGATAGCCAAATTGTTTCATTATTCAAGTATCGATAGGGTGTTTGCCTACCCAGAAAATGCAGAATTGAACCAAGGAAACTTATTTTGAGAGCAGGTCTTACACCGCCTATGACACCTATGACAAGGAAGTAAACAGGAAGTGCTGAATTGGCTTGGTTTACTCCTACAGGCTCAGAGAGAAATAAAATCAGTGTTTACCAAGTGGAAAAGCACAAAGTTGGTACAGAGAGAAATGTTATTTTCAGGGTTCTAAAAAGGTATTACAAATAACACGAAGTTTCAAACACATAATTAAAAACTATTTTTAAAAAGTTTTGATTAGGTTCCCTTCAAAACTAGACATTTTAGGCTGAAATAAATTACTTAAAGTTTTGACTTCCATATATGCTGGTTTTTCCGTAATCTATACTCTATGAATACTCCCCTTAAATAAC